CCGACGTCAAATAACATTTCCATTTCCAACGTAAACCCAACGTCGATCCGACGTCGAGATCCGACGTCGCTCGACGTTCGTTCGACGTCGAAATGCCCACTAGGAACCTCATGTTAAAAAAAAAACGCACGATAATGCAATACCAGACTTTAGAGGATATTTTTTTTATTCTTTTTGGTAGAGATGGCAATAAATAATGTAATAAATTAGACAATAACCCAGTGGGCATTTCGACGTCGAACGAACGTCGAGCGACGTCGGATCTCGACGTCGGATCGACGTTGGGTTTACGTTGGAAATGGAAATGTTATTTGACGTCGGATAAACTGACATCGCGCGACGTCGGCATTCCGATGTAAATCCAACGTGTTTTTTGAAAACTGAAAAACGATGCCTTTGGCAGGAATCGAACCTCGGTCTATTAGATACTAAATCCTGTGCGCATACCACTACACCACAAGGACATAATAATTGATGAGTTTATTTAGTAATTTATATTTGTAGCTATTTGGGAATTATTACTTTGATAAGAAATAATTTTGTTTAAATATTATATAAATATTAAAACGAATAGTTATGTATTATAAAAATGTATACTCGAAAATGTTAATTGTTAAAAAACTATGCTAGTGCATCATACAAAACCTCATGATGTTTTATCAACCTTTATTCAAACTTTTTTCCATTAATAAAAAAACACGCTTAGTTCACATAATTATTGAAGAGCGCAATTGCACACATATTGTTGGGTTTGGATTAAATTTTCATCAGCGATGTCTTACGACGTTGTTCCGACGTCGTTTTAAGGACGTTGGATTGACGTCGGAAGACGTCAAAAGACATCGGAGTACGTTAATATTATGACGTTGCCCGACGTCTTTTTATCGACGTTGGATCGATGTCAGTACTGCGACGTTTTTTGGACGTCTTTTATAAGATGTCGGAACAACGTCAAAATACATCGAAACGACGTCAGGGGATGTTGAGATAAAGACATCGCCCGACGTCATTTTACTGACATCGGAACAACGTCGGAATAGGTCTTTTGACATCGCTGATGAAAATCAAACGTAAATCCGACGTCGGATTGACGTCGGGTGCCCACTGGGAAATAAGGTTCCTTAAAAGATACCATTGTTATTGTGCTAATAAACAAAACCTTTTTCTATATATAACTTTTAATTAAATAACATGTTGCAACAACAACATAAATCATTTCCTGTAGTTAAAAAAATATATATTAAAACAACTAGTTAATTTAATTATAATGAATAGCAACTGCGTAAAAAACACTATTATCACAAGGCTTTTTTGTTTTAATTTTATTTTACCAGTTTGCAACTTTCTATGATTTAGGTACAATTGCTTCATCTATAGATTTTGTGAACATTAAAAATATTGGCAACACAACTTCATCACCCAGTGGGCATTTAGACGTCGGAACAACGTCGAACGACGTCGGATCTCGACGTTGGATCGACGTCGGATTAACGTTGGGAATAAAAATGTTGGGCGACGTCGGAAAAAAAGACATCGGGCGACGTCAGCATTCCGATGTAATTCAACGTTAAGCGATGTTAAACCAACATCGAAACAACGTCATAATACCAACGTAAATAGATGTCATTCGACGTTGAGCGATGTCATACCAACATTGAAACGACGTCAGATAAACGACATAAATAGATGTTATTCGATGTTAAGCGATGTCAAACCAACATAGGAACGAAGTCATTCTATCGAAATAAATAGATGTCATTCGACGTCGATCGATGTCAGACCAACATCGGAATGACATCATAGTTCCAACGTAAATTATTGTCTTCAGACGTTGGGCAATGTCAAACCAACCAACGGAAAGATATCAGATTACCGACGTAAATGCGATTTTATTAGACGTAGAGCAATGTCAAACCAACATCGGAAAGATGTTGGTTTTACATCGTCAAACCAACATCTTTCCGATATTGGTTTGACATCGTCAGACGATGTCATTCAACGTAGAGCAATGTTAAAATAATTTAATACATATAATTAAATATAACATGTATTTCTGGCGTACAAACATTCAATACAAAAAACAAATATATATATTTAAATAGAATCTTTGTGTTAATGGCCACCTTTCTCGCCAACAAGTTTGCTTGGAGCATACCGTAAAATCTTTTGAACTTCCGCTTTAATATCGGTTACTGTGGATTCCGTTTTTTTCATCATGACACTCGCTAAATAGAAAGTTGACAGTATAAAAGTATAAAAAACCATATAAAAGTTATTTTGGGTAATAAACAAAGTATGCAATAAACTAATGAGAGTTTAAATAATCTGTTAACCGTAAACATTTTATTATATATATATGTATATATATATATGTATACATATATATATATATATATATATATATATATATATATATATATATATATATATATATATATATATATATATATATATATATATATATATATATATATATATATATATATATATATATATATATATATATATATATATATATATATATATATATATACATACATATATATATATATATATATATATATATATTATATATATATATATATATATATATATATATTATATATATACATATACATATATATATATATATATATATATATATATATATATATATATTATATATATATATATATATATATATATATATTATATATATACATATATATATATATATATATATATATATATATATATATATATATATATATATACATATCTATGAATATATATATATGTATGTCATACATATGTATATATATATACATATGTATGAAATACATATATATATATATATATATATATATATATATATATATATATATATATATATATATATATTATACATATCTATGAATATATATATATGTATGTCATACATATGTATATATATATACATATGTATGAAATACATATATATATATATATATATATATATATATATATATATATATATATATATATATATATATATATATATATATATATATATATATATATATATATATATATATATATATATATATATATATATATATATATATATATATGTATATATATACGTATCTATGAATATATATATATATGTATATCATACATGTGTATATATATATGTATATATATATACATATGTATGAAATACATATATAATTATATATATATATATATATATATATATATATATATATATATATATATATATATATATATATATATATATATATATATATATATATATATATATATATATATATATATGCTATGAAAATAGTTGTATTATAATAAGTTCTCATAGTTTTTGCTATAATATCTTCTACGAAAACGGTAATATTCATCTAATATCTGCTGTAATATTAGTAAAAATTTATATTTTTGTAAAAAATGATTGCACAAGGTTAAAAAATATTTTGAAATAACGCATAATTACCCATATAAAAATATACTTTAAAACAACAACTAAAACAAAAACCCACCTTTCTAGTCTGCGTAAGTTAAAATTGTTGAAAACAATTCGTCTTTTAACAATATTTAACAATACAAATAGTATTTTACTAAATTGAAAGTAACTCTACGGTTAATACAAAATTTGGTGTTTGACATTAAATTTATTTTTGATTCAACACAAAAACATCACAATATTACCTTTCTAGGATGTTTTATATTTTCTTAATTAATTTTCTTAAAGTAATTCCATCAACTCTTGAAAGACGAGCAATCTAAAAAAAAGACAATTTTGATATTATGCTTTACTTTGGCTTTACACTTTTTTTACTATATATTAATATATTAAAAAGTTACAATTTTAATATATATTAACATAGACAATATATGACAAAAACGTTTTTGAAGTTATTAACTTCATTAAATTATTTAATTGGAATAAGAGCGTAGAATTTAGAAACATTTAAAAATTTTGTAAATACTTTTAAAAACAATTATTCCTAATAAAACAATAATCTAACAATCATATCCTTTAAATAAACCCATTCATCTGAAATAATTGTTCCATTCCAATTTTATTCCAATAATTTTGTCACACTTTTAAAAACACTCTAAAATCTAATAACTGGATATGTGAAACAATAGATAAACCATTAGATAAACCGTTTATCTAATACCCAACTAAAAAGATACCTTACAAGTTTCTTAGACTGATCTTCATCACTATTCAAGACCTTTTCAAAATCCAAAAGTTCATCAACTTGGAGAAATTTAGCAGGAAGATTACTTAAATTCATTCCAGCCACTGTTGTTTCGCGCTGTTGGTGTATTGTATTTTGGTTTTCTAACTATTTTGTCAGCAATTTTATCACAGTGTATTGAAAGTCTAAACGTGAAAAAGTGATTATTTACCCAATAATGAAAATATATGACCCATTGAGATTTACTATTTTTTAAATTAATTTGTTTTAATTTGTTTGGAAATTTTGTTGATAAACAAAATACCTTTTATGTAGGTAACAACTAGAGATTACTAACTAGTAGAAATAAATAGAGGTAATAATTAGTATTTTAAACTACCACTTAAGTATGGTGATTAAAATAAGCTAATCAAAACCAGGCTTGTGGAGATTATGGGAAAATGTGCCGTACTCTAGACGTATGTGCTACATAACTTAAAACTTAAAATAACATTCAAAACAAAATCTTAAATCAAAAAAATTCTCACCTCCAACGTCCATAGGAAAATCTTTCCGTCTAAAATGCACAGCATCTTTTCTTTTTGTCGGGGTAGACTTACAGACAATTGATGATACTGCAACAAACCCAAGTCTGGAGACATTTGAATTTGAATGAGAAGATCTTGTGTCTGATTTGATCGAGATCGCGAACATCGTGATTGGGACCAAGACTGTGAGCAAGACTTCAAACGTAATGAGGACTTCGACTGCAAATAGGACTTTGAATGTGAATTTGACTTCGAGTGTGAACCTGACCTCGATCGTGAACAAGGCTTCGACTGATAACGTGATCTTTAACGTGAACGAGACTTAGACCGTAATTGTGACCTTGACCGTGAATGTGCTCGTGAATGCAAGTTTAACCCTGAATACGATCTTGAATGTAAACCAAGTTGTGAGTGTTTTGATCTTGATGGTGGTGGTCTAACTGGGGTGGATTGTAAATGGGGTGGTGGGGCAGTTGCAATAACTTTACATGTTGGGAATGTTGGAGGTATATTTGGAATGATTTTTCCTGTAAGGTAAAATGCAAAAAATAAATTAGATACTAACAAAAACTAATACGAAAAAGGCAAATAACTAAAAAGTAAAAACTGGTTAAAGCTCAGGAAATAAAATATACAAACAAACAAAAGGTTCATATGATGCTGTATATGTTAACATAACTAATAAATATCTACAATAGTACCTCAACTTACCTTTATCAGAAGAAATTATTTCCACAGGTTCCGTTGTTTCCTCGGTGGTCGTGTAATCTGTGCAGCCTTCACAGTCTTCTTTTGTACCTTAAAAAATAGCAATAAAAGGTGATAAAAAGAGTAATTTATTACCAAATAAGAAGATTCAAAACTTCCATAAACATCAAATTCACTGGTAATGTATTTAAACCCAACCTTATGAGTTTTAGTGATATAATACTTAAAAGTAAATTAACTTATATCTTCTATCTATATATTTTATTCAATTGTATATTTATATATGCTATTATTTATTTTCATGATCAATTTTTGAACATAATAAAAATCCTTGATAACTAAAAACGTTGTAATTCTGTATGCATACAACATTGGTTTAGTTTCTCTGGTATAACTACAACAAAAATATATAAAATCACTTAAAAAATATTTAACACATACCGCTAATTTTGACTTTGATTAGAGAGAACTGTTTCCATCGAGTTTTAGGCGTTTCTAAATTTTCAAATGCACGTTTTACATGCAAACCATTTGGCCAATAAACAACTTTTCTTGTTGTATCCACCCAACTTGAAGAAATTACTCTCTCAAAATCTTTTTTATTTTCCAACCAACAAGCTCTTGTATACGACATAGACTAAAAGAAAAAAAACCTTGATTCTATGACAAGTAAAAAGTAAAATGTAAAAAGCTTTTTAAGAGGTGTATTGGATATGATAATAACGCACATTCTTAGCAGAATAAGCCTTATTATAAAACTTTATTTTATTCATCTTTAGACATGCACATTGAATGACTGACGTGCAAACAAACATGATGTTACCCCACTTTTAAAAAATAAAATAAAAACATTCTCTTACAATAACTTCATTAAGACACATGCATAGCATAGCGTAGTTTTTCACATGTTTAAAATGTTTTAAAAAATAGATAAAAATTCTATAAAGTGAAACCCTTTTCTGAAAAACGCCTTCCACTTTATCCCTAAACCTTTTTAACGTGATACGCTCCTTCCCCATTTTGCATGACATTCTTTATGAGTGGTCCCAAATATTTTTTTAAATTTCAATTAAAACTTAACAAGATAAATGCAAACACATTATTTGTATTATCTGTATCTAGGCTAATATCTAGGTATCTATATAGGCCAGAAAAATAAAATATCATATACATTACACCTCTGAATTTAAGGAGGCAATATAAAGAGAATATTGAAAGACCTAATTACTGTTATGTTCCAACAAGTGTTTAACAAAATTTTGTATGATAGATAATAATAAAAACATAAAATCATTTTAAAACCATAATAACATCACCAAACTATAAGTAAAAGTAAAATTTTACATAATAAAATATTAACAAAAAAGATGCTTAAGTTATATAAAAACAGCTAACAAAATGCTCTAAAAAAATAAATTAAAACAAACATATTTTAATTTAAAGAATACCCTCTCATTTATATATATATATATATATATATATATATATATATATATTATATATAATATATATATATATATATATATATATATATATATATATAATATATATATATATATATATATATATATATATATATATATATATATATATATATATATATATATATATATATATATATATTATATATATATATATATATATATATATATATATATATATATATATATATATATATATATATATATATATATATATATATATATATATATATATATATATATATATATATATATAACAGCACATAATAGCTTTATTTATGTGTCAAAACTATAAGATAAAAAAAATTCAAACAAACTTAAAATCTAATATTGTGAACATAAGGCATCAAAACATAACTTTGATTACGAGTTAAACAGACAAGTTTCCGAAAAATTTCATTTTTAGAAATAATTGTATTGCTCATTCGAATATCTTTATCAAAAACGTAAATACCCAAATGTCTAGAGTCACAAGGTTCAAGAAAAAGATACCTTGCACTAGGGTTGTTCGCCAAAAAACAAAACTTGCGAAAATTTCGCATCTTTATCTCTCGTAATAGAATTGTTATTGCGGAAGTTGCTCATGCAAAAATGCACATTCCGTAACGCGCTATACGAAAATATAAAAAAATAAAATTCCGTAATAAAGCATTGCGAAAGAAAACTTGCGAAACAAATCATTTCGTAAGAATACTTACGAAATAGTTCCTTACGGAAAAAGCATTCTGGAATGTGCAGTTACGAAAAAGACGCAAAAGATTTTATGTTACGATATATTTAAGATATTAACTGTTAACAGTTTAAATAATAAATAATAAAGTTATAAAAAAATGTTGTCAAATGATTCTTCAAATGTTTATACAAATATACCTAATATATATATATATATATATATATATATATATATATATATATATATATATATATATATATATATATATATATATATATATATATATATATATATATATATATATATATATATATATATATATATAAATATATATATATATATATATATATATATATATATATATATATATATATATATATATATATATTTATATATATATATATATACATATATATATATATATATATATATATATATATATATATATATATATACATATATATACAGTAAAATCCCGTTAAGTTGGACTCTCAATGAACAGATAAACAGTATGCCTTTCTTTTTAAAAAGTATAAAGAGGATGTGTGATAAACAATTAAATACTTTATTATAAAGAACGAGAGATCTCTCTAAAGGTAAATAATATCAGAAAGAGTAAAAAGAGAAGAAATATATGTGAAACAGCGGGATGTGAACCTGGGTCTACGCGGCCAAATGTCTTAAATGAATGAGCTATACGTTCATTCAACTAAGTGAATAGTAATGTTTATTTAATATATAATTAAGAAACTATATAAAACAGAATTTACAGAAAGAGATACGTATGCAAATAGGATTCTATATATCAGGAAAATGAATAGTAATGTGAACCTTTAGACGCTTATAATTAATATTTGGACTCAAAAACTCGTTACTTTTAATGGAACACAATAGGCTGTAGGAGCCTCAAGGAAATTATATTCAGAAATGGTTATATTAGACTCAGAGTTAGCTAGAAATTACTATAAAGTATTTAGGACAGATGTCTAGTACAAAAGCAAAAGATTTAAAGCAAAATGATTTATATTATTTGAAAAAGTTTTTATACGTACATTTCATCATAATTTAAGTAGAACTTAGTAAAGCAAGGGAAACGTGTTGAATTAAGCACAATGAACTCAATCTTAAAAGAATAACTAACAGAAGAGAGGTTGTCACTATTGTGAAGGTGACGAAAGATCTGTAATATAGAACATGGAGGTCAAAAAATGCTATCTTAAGTAAAAAGAGTTTAATGAACAAAAGTTACAATGGTTGCGGGATGCGAACCCGGATCTCTGCGGCAAATTATCACGTATCTAACTGATTGAACTATACGATCTTATACTTAAATTTATATCTTATCAAAATTAAAAAACAATATTTTCTAAGATCTATACTTTGAAAAGCGTATTCAAACAGGACTCTACATGCCTTTAAAATCTGCTAGAACTTTAGTAACGTGCACACTTTTAGAAATTATTGAAATAGGTATATTTTATTAGAAATATGCTTAAGCTAAAGCATATTTTTGAGCCTCTTTTTACTATTTGCTTAAGCATATTCGAACCATTTCAAAAATTTCTTATGCTTTAAAAAAAAAAAACATGTTTATTCCTACCCATCATTCTTATTTTTACTTTACGTAATGAGTTCAAAAAACATCGTTATATATATTTATTATGGCACGTTTCGTAAGTTTATTTCCGTAAAGAATTCTTTTGTATGTTGTGATCCGAAATACTTTCGTTTCGAAGGAAATTTTATTTTTTATCAATATTTATAAAAATAAAACCATAAAAATTTAATATGTTATTATACTGAAAATAAAAATTCATTATAAACATTTTGGGATTTAAAGATGTTAATTTTTACAATTAAAGTCAGTCTGGCTAACAAATTTTCTTTATAGACTTCAAAACGTCGTTTGGCGAAAATGTTTGTTTCGCAAGTGCGACTTTCGAGACCGCTACTTTCGTATGTTGCAAAATAGTTTTGTTTCGTATCTCAACTTGCGAAATGCTAAATTTCGGAAGTAAATTTTGCGAAATGAACATCGGCGATTTTAAATGTTTTGTAACATTCGGTACGAAAAAATGAAAATACGAATTACGAAAGAATGTTGTTTTTTCCGGAATTGCACGAAATCCTCCGGTTAACAACCCTACATTGTACGCCTTTTGTTAACAACTTTACAATTTTACATCTCATTATCCAATTTTTCTATCACACTGACTAAGTTCCCATTTTTTAAACAAAACTAACTATCTCTGTTAATACTTGAGATCTCATCTTTTATATGTTTATGTTTAATTAATTCGCTTGCATTCTCTAACTCTGTACTTCTTTTGATGACTTGAACAAGTGGACTATTTGCATTTCTTATAAAATGCTTTAAAACCTGCATATGGTTTTCAAACTGAAAAGCTGACATTGAAATCAAATCTTCTTCATGATTTATGACATCTTTATATATGTGGATCAAGGAATGGGTGTTATATGTTGAAAAAGTTTGACCATAAAAATGTTTTGCGTTAAAAACAAACCACTCCCGAAGCTCTTTTGCATATGGTAACAACGCGGTTTTTCTTTCAAACTCTGTGTAGCACATAATTCTTATTGCAATACTAAAAGAAAGAAAATTCATATAGCTATCTCTTGTAAGAATTTCTTTTTTAACAACTGGATTAGTGTACAAAAGAAATTGTTTAAACTCAGTGGCTTTACACATTTTTAACTCTTTTAAAGATCTTGGCTGCCTATTACATTCACTTGGTAACTTTAATTGCTCCAGATGACAAGATATTTCGTTAATTATCATCTGAGAGAGTCTACATACTTTTGGACCTTCTTTCAGAAAATAGAGTAATCTTTTTGTTACACCAAAAAAAAACAAAATGCATCGAGTCCAACAAAAAGCTTTTAACACAAGGAATCTCATAATCAATAAGTATACTTCGACCTAATTGATGACTTCCTTGATAACTCTGTTGTGAAAACTCCAGATCGTTGCGCAAAGGACATTCTTTCTCTTCAAAAATAACCCTATTTTCTAGATAAGTGCCTTCTACAGTACATCTTTCACAAGAGTAATACCTACTATGCGCCTTGACACATTTTAACATCTGGAGCATAACCTCGCTGGAGCATCACAGCAAAAATATTTTAAATCAAGTTTAAACAACAAATTGTTAAAAGTAAAGCCGTTTGCCTTTAAATCACAAAATTCTACTAAAAAATCATTTAGAAATTCAGAAACAGGATCTGGTTTTTGCATTCCACAGTACAATGCTATAATAAAAGGTTTCATTCCTCCAAATGCACCAAGTGTTGGCCAAAACTGTTTACTACTGCTTTTGAATAAAGGAAGTCCATCGATATTAACTTCTAAATATATTGGATTTAGAGATGTACACGTGTACATTTGTTTCGAGCAGCCCAGGAAGCTAGTTCATCAGAAAGAAAATATTCTACAACTGGGTCAACATTTTCAAAACTTATATTAGTAAGATCTTGAGAATGCAATGTACTACTCTTATCTCTTAAGATCTCAATAGGAGAATTATTAAAAATGTTATTACTAAAATGACCTGATTCAGAGTAAAAAGATTTAACTGCATTGCTAATAAACTGTACATTGTCATCATCATCATCATCTTGTAGGGCCTTGTTAATTAAATGACTGATTTCACGATCCAATTATTAATGTAAGACATCTAAAAAGTAAAAATGAAAAAAAATTTTCAACGACAACAACTTTCAAAGACTGCTCTCCTAAATCAAGCATGACAAGCCATGCAAGCTGCTCCTCTAAACAGCTTTTTGCAAGAGCCTAATGATTTTGCGTGATATAACAGTTCTATTAAAAAGATTTTATCGCAAGCAAGGTCTTAAGAAATAAATTAATTTGAAATTTACATAATAGAATAATAAGAAAATTAATTTAATTCTCTTACAATACCGTAGTTATTGTTAGAAGACTAGTGCGCTAAAGAAAGAAAAGTAAAATAAATATTTTTTTATTATTTAAATTAATAATCTAAACTTTACAAGTGCATTTATCTCATTATAAAAATTTATTTTATTCCTGGTAAAGTTTACAACCCTTAATTAAAAGAACTTGCTTAACTTTTTATTTTTGAGAGAGAAATAAATTGTTCTCATAAACCAATTTCATAAACCAGAGCAAGAGCTCAGTCAATTCTTGAAGTTTTAACGACGTTAAAACACCAAGAATTTAAAGCACTTAAGCAATGACGTTTTCGCGCAGTTAAAACATTTTAAATGTATTTTCGTGGATAATAAAAGTTAATGGAAACTTAAAACTTTAAAATTAGCTTGGGGGCTTAATGCCCCCAAATTCCAAAAAATTGATTAAACTAGCAAATAACATTGATCAGATAAAAAAATCAATATTTTGATTTTATAAACATTACACAGATATAGTTTAATGAAAAAAAAATT